TATATATATATATATATATATATATATATATAATTTTTTANCTTTCTGATTTTTGTTTAAGACTAAAATATGATTGTTAAAGATTATTATAATTATTTGTATATAATTATTTGTATATAAAAATAAAAATAATACATTTTTTAAAAAATGACTTTTATTTTATCACACCTTTAATTCGAAGAAAATATTTAAAAAAATACTTCAAATTAAAAATATTTTTTTTATTATTTTTGTAAAATGTTTTTATATTTATTTTTATATAATATGATTGTATATTAATAAATAATATTTATTAAAAATAAATAAAAGTAATCTAAATATTATCTTATAAAAGTCATTATTTATTTATATTTTTTCAGAAATAATTTTATTATTATCGATATTTCAAACTATTATTAATAAATAATAAATAATTAATAATATTAATAATATAATAAATCTAGTGATTTGAATAACAAAATCTTTAATTTAAAAAAAAAATCATGGTTATAATTATAAATTTTAATGAATAATTTTAAATAATAAAATAAAAATTAATAAAGATATTTAAAATAAACAAAATTAGATTCCATAAGTAATATTTTTAATTTTTTATATACAATACTTTATAACAAAAAAAAAATTTATAATGATCTATAATGAAAAAATGTTTTCAATAATTTTATTTAATTATATTAATATATATAACATTAAAAATAATTGATTTTTAAGGTTTAATTATAATAAAACAAAGTATTAGAATACATAATACATTTAATTATATAAAGTACACAAATGAAAAACTCATAAAATTTACATACCAAAGAATTTTTACAAATAAGTGAAACAAACTTAAATTGTATGTTATGAAAATTATCTTAAACATTTCTTCTCTACGCGGGGAAAACAAATATTTTAAAATTGATTTTTTATATATTATTCTCCTAAAAATAAATTTCATACTTTATTTTAATATACTCTATATGTTTTCATACAATTGAATTTTGTAAAATTTTATTGTATTAAAGCTGTTAAAAAATTCTTTAATTTAATGATCAAAATATTTCATAACACAAGATAAGTAAAAATATCAAATTCCCCATTTTATATACACATCAAGATAGAAATTCTTTATATTTTTTAAATAGAAATTAGTAAGCAAAAAATATCGTTTAACGAATCGTATAAAAAATTATAAAACTTAATAAATTGAAATATACTTTCTTAATTAATAGAAAATTTAATTGAAATATATCTTATTTTCTACAATTTAATTAGACAATAAGAATTTATACAATACTATTCAATGAAAATATTTAATATTATTGAGAATGCATTTTGTACATTTCATTTTAAACTGTGAAATTAAAAAAAGGCAATATTTTTTGTCTAATTTTTTTAATGTAATACTTTTGTGACATAGAACAGTGTTGAATTTGAGAAAAATACAATATTTTCTTTTAGTTTAAAAATCTTATTACGATGTTCTTTGCCTAGAATGAAACTATCGATATATAAATATAATGTACATGTGTTGTTCTTGAGTGTAGAATAAAAACTGAAAGAATACCTAGCTCGATGCATGTACTGTGGTAGAATCAGCAAAATATTGTTTGTAATACAAATTCACTAAATCCTCGTGTCAGTCTTATTTAAATCTAATGTATAGATGTTTATCACTATATTTTAATGAAATATTGTGTACATATCATTTTCCAAAAATTAAATTATTAGGATCGGTTAACACAAATACAAACATACGCGGTATATATTATGTACACAAAATGAATTTATTTTATCCTATTCTTCTTACCAATAAGGAAGCAATAATCTTTTTACCTCTTATTTCATACCTCACACAATCATTATAAACAACTCGGTACTTTTCATTTTTGTCTTATCGTAGCCGTGTAAAAAGTACATTGCCTGCTTACTCTTCTATAGTGGATCTCCTCTTATTAAGTTTAGTTTATAGACAAATTAAAATAATCTTAATGTTAAAAATAGGGACAGGTTATTTCTTAATAGTCCCAAGCGATGAATGAGAAACTTGATTGTTCCTAATATATCTGTATTTAAATTATTTCCTATCATCTTTTGCTTTCCCATTTGCACAAAAATATTACGTTACAATATCTCATCGTAAGGCATATCATCGATGTAATCATCCATACATTTGAAATAATCATTATGCTGTATTTATATTTGTCAGCATATAATATTAATATTTTTCAAACGTACTATGTTACAAATTACCTTACGTTGAACAACGTAACGTACTAACAGTAAAAAATTAGCGATAAATAAGATGAAATGAGGAAAGAGACCAATGTGAAATATGAAGTATTTTTCACTTTGTACAAAAGGGTAAACGAGAGATGGAAGAAAGCATTGTGTACCTATATATATATAATATATATATGTATATATGTTTGCTTTTGTTGTCTCCATAATACAGATGTATTGCTAGACGCAAAATATGAAGCTATTACAGTTTTTGTCGTGACTCCTGATGATTCATTTTATTTTGCGGCAGTAGTCTGCGTTGTTGAAAATCTTGCTGAAAGTGACGTGGTTTAATGGAATGATGATTTAACGAGTGATGAGATAGGAAACCTGAAAATAAGAATAAATATTTAAATGTTTATTATATTATTTATATATAATATTTATATTGTTATAAATATTTTTATTGTGGAACCACATGAAATCATTGATAATGCTCAACATAAATGACACTGGAAGAGGAAAAGAAAGGTTGTTGAATTTATAGATGTCAGGAAGCTATGATGACTCACCAGCGGTTACAATGCGAATTGCATTGCGGTCGCAATGAATGATTTCCATTAATAGGGTTGGTGCCTTTGGTTCTGACGACCACCTCCCCTCTGCTTTCCGCCGTAGCCTGAGCCTCCTGAAACAATATCCACGATGTACGTTAGTCCAGCAAGTTGGATATATCTCTCCGCTTTCTTCTTCCCGTAGTTTTTTTTCTTTTCTTTTCTTTTTTTTTTTTTTTGGAGAAATTAGAAAAGATTAACTACAAAACGATTTATTTGTAGAAATTACCGCACGCACACTTCTATTAATAATAGAATAAAATACGAAATAATATATAGATATACAGACTAACGTAATGGATATAAAACTACGAAGAATCTACATAGAGGCTACAGGCTAAGGTAGTAAGCTGCAAGGCTGCGTTCTGATTCATACTCTCCTTTTCTCCTTACACATTTCTGGAATCTGCACATGCTGAAATACTGAAATCTTCATATTGCTACACTGTATGTATATTTAAAAAATTGTAACTTACTTAAATAATTTATAATTATTTTACTAAGGCTTTATTTTAAACTTATATTAATAATTCTTATATACTATTATCAAAACATAATCTAATATATCATTAATATTATAATAATTTAAATTGCTTTGAATAACCAGAAATGTTTAAGGTTAAGGATGTGAAAAATGAAATAAAGATGAAATGAGTGAAGTATTAGCATGAAAAATAATTTTTAATTAATCATTAATTTTAATTAGGTTGTGTTGTATGCACAAAATATATAGATAAACAAATAACATTTTTCTATATATTTTTTTTTCAGAATATATCTATAAAAATATACATTTCACAAAAGAAACATAGCAATATATCAGTATAATAATTTTAAATCTTAAAAATGACGAATTTCAAATAGTAAAACATTTAATTTTATGTTTCTATATTTATATTAGTGATATTATAACAATTAAATATTTTAAATATATTGAAGAGACACGTGAAAAATATAATTTATTTAAAATAAAATACTAGCACATATTAAGATTTTTTGTCTTAGTTTCATTTGTGAATATAAATTATAAATTTTTACTAATTTTTAAATATATATGCATTTTTTATTTAAATTAATAAAATTAATAAATTTTTGTGCTTACAAATTTATTATTAAAATTGTTAGATGATTATGATACTATTAAGAACATATTAAAAAATATTTGTATGTATAAAAAAAAATGAAATATAAAATATTTCAATTACACAAAAATTTCTGAAAAATGGTTAAAGAAATTAGAATAAATAGATATTAATTTACAAATATAAAAAAAAATAAAATAAAAATATTATTAAAAATGATATAAAAATAAAGTATTTGTATACAGATACACTTAATAATACTCTATCTATAATTGCTGAAAATTTATTATTCTTATTAGTATCGTAACTATAAATGTAAAAATTTCATATGCTCACACGTACATGTACACACATACTTCAGAAAGAAAATAAGGGAAATGATGAAGGAAGAACATAAACAAAAATAAGATGCAAAGTAGTATGATTGATGAAAAATAATTGATGAATGAATGTGAATTTAGAAATTGGAATTTGCTAATAAAGTAGAGGACACGTTCGGGAATACAAAATAGAGAAGGAACGCTAATGCGTACCTTTACCGCGTGCACCACCGCGCCCACCACTGTAGCCACCATCGTAACTACCACCGCCATAGCCATAGCCGTCTGCGTTTCATGGAACACACGGTATAAGAGACAAATGGGGTCAGTATAAACCGGCAATTGTGCTTTTATAGAATAATATATCTATGATAATAATAATAATGATCGCCGGTACAATATATTTAATACATAATATATGTTAAATACAATTATACAAAAAAAAATTATTAAATTTAAACTTTAGTATTAAATATTTTTCTTATAAAAATATATAGTTCAAATTATATTAAATCTGTATATTATATGAATTTAAAACAATATTTAACAATATTCAACAATATTAAGAAATAATCTTATCTTCCAAAGGGTTTATTGTTTGCACATTTAATATGTAATACTAGTGCAGAGGCTGTTCATAAACTTATGTATCGAAAAATACTATGATTTTATTATACCGTTAACATGAAGTGGCATGCACTTAAACTTCTTTATGACGAAAAAGTTTAGTGTAATAATTTATAATTATTTGCCACAGTCCCAGGAAAAAAGTGTGTGCAGGGTCGAACACGCAAATAGATATATATGTAAGTTTATCGTGGACTTGCTATTGTGTTTTTAAGATTTATTTTTATTTAATATATGTAACAGGAAATAATTTTATAATTGATAAATAATATTTTCATTTTTAATGATTTTGTTTTTTCTTATGAAAAAAAAGTTATAATAATAACATCATAATGAAACACAATTAAAAAAAAATCAAACACAATTATTGCAAGTATTGATATTATTATCATTTAAAGAGTGTGTTAGTTTTATGAATGAAGTGGTTATGTGAAATATGTGAAAGCATGCACATTAGGATTACGTGGCAGGACTTGAAAGCAAGGATTGGAGGTTTAATATACCATATCATACGACATTGTCCTGTATAAGTTTTGCTTTTATGTTCTCCACACATTTAAAGTTCACATATAACTATGTTACAGTGACTATATGTGTTGAAGTTAGCAAGTCTACAGAACTTAAGAGTTATGATAGTAAATATATAAAAGAATTTATTTCATGATTCACTGATATTTATCAATGAATATATGAAATCAATACTTTTTGTGTAATATTTTATTAATAAAATGATTTATAATGAATTTTTTATTGTAATAATTCTTAATAAATATTAAGAATTAAAGAAATAACTTAAAAAAATGATTGTAAGATGCAGAACTGGAAAGAATATTAATAAAACAGCAATATTTTCTTCTTTATATACATTATTTATAAATATGACATTTTTAATTAATATTATTTAAATCACCTATATATCTATTTTTATTTTATGAATATATTGAATTTAGTGAAAACAACCAAGATTTGCATTTTTTTTTATTAGTTTCCTTTCTAGCTCTGCATATTATATTAATTAAATATATACAAAGAATTAATTTTTTAAAGAATGTTAAATTGAATTATAATCTTATTTATCTTCACACATTCACTGTTACATATTATATGATATCCTGCTTTCCTGAATTTAATGTCGTTCATATGTATGTGTGTATATATATGTATATATAAATTAAATATTAATAAGGTATTAAAAAATTTAACTTAGGAAATTGTTAGAATTAATAAATTATTTGATCACAGCTCAAAAACAGCCAACCCTCTGGAAGTAGGGGTTTATCTTTCGGATTATGTTATTTTTTTTAATATTATATAGCATATATATTATACATTATTTTTATAATTTAAAAATATAAAATATATTTTAAAACAAAAGAACATAATCCGAATGTAGTTCCTATATATGAGCTGCTGGTTTACTCTCTTAATTTTATATTAAATTATATAATTTATACTTTAATTTTTACATTATATTTAATTCTTCAATACTTAAAATTTAATAATATAAATAATATTAAAAATAAAGACTCCGCTGATTTATCTGCAAACCAGCGCTCAATTTGCAACATTAATCTATCATATTAATTTTATATCATTTAATATAATTTATACTTATATAATATTAAATTAATATTATACTATACCAAGATAAATTTAAATTTATATAACATAAATAAAAAATTTTCTATAAAATTTTACTTAAAGAAAAATTTTATAGGAGGTATGGATAATTAAAACTTCGTGTCAGGTAATTTTGAAAACCTTATTTAAAATTTGATCATTATTTTTAAAATTCATCCCATATGTATATGGCTCAAAACATTTATTGTAAAGATAAAAAAGATTTATTTTTTAAATATTAATATTTTGTTATAGTTTTAATCTAAAATTATCTAAAAATTATTTATTAATATTATTAATTTGAAATTATTAAATTAAATCAATCATAAAAAATTCAAATATTTGTTATTAATAAAATTTAAAATTCGAAAATATATTATAATAATAATAATAATATAATAATAATATAAGTTGTATCGTATTTTAATAAAAAACATCAATATATTATATTAAATTATATTTAATAATAAAAATTTATTTTAAAATTATTTTATAAAATTTAAGTTTATGTGCGTAATAAAAAAATTATTATATGTATAATATATCAGATTAATATTAAATTTAGAAGTTTTAATGATTTTAAATATTAATAGAAATCTATATTATTTGAGATATTAAAAAATTAATGAAATGTATAAAGAATGGAATAAATAAATAAATAATAATAAATAAAATATAATACTTGTAATAATTATGTTTGTTTGCCAAATACACTGGGACGGTAGCAGCAAAAAATCATCTGCTACTGATTATTAGAAAAAAGTGAAATTAAATTCAATATAATCCTACACAGCGATAAGCGCGTGTAAGTTCTTTTAATAATAATCAATAAAATTACCGTATCCACTGTAGTCGTAACCACCATAGCCGCCGTACCCACCGCCGTAATAATCGTAGCCTCCTCCGTATCCATCATAGCCACCGCCATAACCGCCTTGTCCGTAACCGCCGCCGTAACCTCCTCCGTATCCACCTTGGCCCCAACCACCTTGACCACCAAAACCACGTCCTCTACCTCCTCTTCCGCCACGGCCGCCTCGACCACCAGCACCGCCACGCATACCTCCCATGCCATCTGGTTTTGGTGTTGCTTTTTTCACATCAACCTATTTAATTTATTTCAACATTAATATTATTTTTTATGTAGTTTTTTTTAGAATCAATTAATCACGTATCGTATTGCTATACATACTTCTTTACCATTGATTGTCTGCTTAGGTGTTTTCAATAATTCATTTACTACTTGTTCAGATTCAAAAGTAATAAAGCAAAATCCTTCCTTTGGTTCTTTGTCTTGTCAAATGGCATTTCCACTTCGACAATCTATAACAAATTATTTAATTTCATTATATTTTTTCTGAAGAATAAATGAATAATTTTTGTAATAGAAAAAATTATAATATTTACTGTTCCAAATTGAGAAAAGAAATTTTTAATATCATCATCCGACAATTCCGTCGAAAGACCACCAACAAAAATTTTACCATGTCTAGCCTTTGCTTTTTTAGGATCGACTTTCTTATTATTAATTACATGATCACCAGCTGCCATAATCTAAAATGTAAATGATTTTTATAAAAATTTATTTTTTTTATAATCTTAAAAATTGATATCTCCGAATAACTTTTTTTCAGAAATTGGAATATCTTCAAATGATTTCAGTAGCAGAACTGGACATAATTATCATCATATTAATCAAATATTTTTTTATACAACTTATTATTTATATTATTTTTTATACATAATTGATCATAATCAAATATTTTTTTATACAACTTATTATTTCATAATTTTACCTTATCTAACGATTCAGCTTTTGCAAAAACAATAAAAGCGAATCCCCGCGACCGTCCCGTATTAGGATCTGTTTTGACATTAATGCTTTCAATATCACCATATGTACCAAAGTGATCCCTTAATTCCTCTGAAAATTAACATGCTTATTTAAAATTTTAATAATTAAATTTATTAATTATTTACACCGTTAAATTTTTATGAAAACTCAGTATTAAGTTTGATCTCATATGATTGATATCATCTGAAGGTGTCCTAAGTAAAATAACATCATAGTTTATAAATAATATTATATTATAATTTTTAAAATAAATAAATAAAAAATACTCACTATCTGTAGTTTCCCAGCTTAATCCACCCACAAATAATTTCCTATAAAAAATAAAAATGTTACAATATTTGACTTAAATCATCAATTTTGAAAGAATTTTTTTTATATAAAGTATTATATATTGTTGAGCATCTTTTAAAAAGTTTCTTTTAATTCATCTTTTAATTAGTTATTATTTATTAAATTATAAATTCTCATTAGATAAAACAAAATGGAAATACTTTAACAACACTATTATGGAGATAATCATACAAAGTTTTACTCCATACTTAAAATAAACTTCAATTGCTTATAACTTAATAAGTCTTAATCATTTTTGTATATCAACTTTATTTTGATTTTTTTTATAATTAACTCTCTAAAGATGTTCCACAAATACATTATATAAAAAAAATCTAATAAAAATTATACTATATAACTATTCATTTATAAATAATTTTTAATTGATATTTATATTTTAATTTTTAATTTTAATTAAAAGAAAATTTTCTTCTAGTAAAATTATTAGAATTTAAATCATGCTTTTTGAATGAACATTTATTATTATATATAATTTAAAAACTAAATTAATAACAATAATAATAATAAAAAAAATGTACCTATCATTTAAAGAATCCTGATTACCCCCGGTTGACCTGCAAAGCAATGTAATATATTTTATTATAATGATCTTTGAAATTTATATAAATATTTTAAGGACTAAGTTTGAAGCAAAAATTTAAATTTTGTTACAAATTATTTCCATTTATATTTGAAAAAGGAGTTTGACTTGACCCCTGGAAAAATTAGAATAAAAGTTAAAATATTAAAATTTAATATTGACAATATATAAGAGATGCAATAGATCAATAATTATATATTATTTGGAAAAAGGGCACTGGATAAACTTTTAAAAGACATTTTGGTAAGGAATTTTTTCAATAGGTAATGTACGTAATTTATTAAATGCTTCTTATGTATATAAATATATAATATATACTCATGTATATATAAATCATGTAAATTTAATCTATAATCAATTAAGTGACCTACATTAATGTCTACTTTAAAATTTGGAAGAATAAATAATTTTGCGAGAATAAAATTATCTTAATTTGATAGTTACGTATATTAATAAGGACACAAAATTACCTAGAATAAATGAACTCACTGATAATCTTATTGTATGAAAATTATGTTTGTCCTTAATAAAAAAAACAGGATTATGAGAAACAACCATGAGAAGACTGCTTTGCACACCACATAGACCTTGATTTGAACTTCAGATAAATATATTTATCAACAAAAATTAAAGGAAAAAACTTGGAAAAAAGTAGATATGTAAAAATTAACGCATTGAGAGAGCAAAGTACTTTTCACGATGTTCATGTGAACCCGAACAATAGTTATAACTCCAGTTGACATACAGCTGCTCCTAAAGGAAATAAAATTTATCTTTTCCAAGTTGAACTCTGACTGCTGATTGGCCCAAAGAATTGACATATGGTAGATAGACTGCAACTCTATTAAAAAGCTAAAAAAATTGTTTCCATATTACAAGTTAATGATGGTCACTTCTTGATATTTTTTAAATATCTATATGCACATAATATTTTGTTTATTTATAGTATATTTATATATGTATAGTATTTCTCTCTTTTTGTTTATTCATCAGCAAAATATTATATTTCAAGTCCTGATATGCTTTTCAGCCTTTTCATACACAAATATAATAAGCTGCAATTTTTCACTTTTCTGGCATGTGATGATAGTTGTCTGTACTTAGATTGATCTTTTCATATATCATCTAGGGCTGGTGATAAATACCGTAGGCACCAGTCACTCGCCGGTAATCAGTTGTTGGTCGGGTCACGGTTAGCCGGTTGCGAGCCGCCCGCCATAATCGCACTGGGTCGTTTGCCACCTGCAGATCAAGCCACATAAACTGGGTTAATGGCATTCCGACCTATAGGAGTTTTTCGCATTGGCCCTAGTGACTCTGTGCTTTGATCACGCCCAAACAGCATTGACATCTGATCAGAAATTACTCTACGCGTGACCCAGCAGGCAAGTGTGTGTCTGTGCGAGACTTATTGATCTGACGTAATTGACTCGACTTCCAGTGCTTGTGTTGTGACGAAACATGACGGACTTGAACTTGAAGTAGACTTCTCACAATAATTCAGACTCAGAAGTCAATCATAAGGCTTCACGGTTCAGTTCACAGATCCCAGGTAAGCGTACATATTGTCAATCATGAAGAATTGACTAACCAGAATTCTGCTGCAATGAATCAATGAGGAAGACTCAGCTGGCCAAAAATGCATTTCAAAGTTTATGCTCTATAAAAATATTACAATTATTATTTGCGTAATGTGTAGAAATTTTTATCATTGATGAAATAACTTCTTTTTATCATTTACAAAACTAGAATAGAATTAACTAGGAAGGAGAGCAGAAATAAGGAGTTTACACAAAATTACAAAATTTTAAACAGATAAATGTATACCTCGCAACAACAGCACTTATAAAGTTAAAATACTTATTATTCATATATGTATAGTTACCTTATTATAATTTTGCAATAAAGAACATGCAATATTTACTTTTGATTTTCTCTTTTACTTGTAATAGACTGATATAATAAATAAGGAAATGCCAGCTTTAAGTTATTTTTTGTTACTTCATACATAGATATCACATCCTTTAACACGCATTTGTACTTCTGGTATTTGGGTGAGAGGAAGCATACCTCCAAATTTTGTTTTATATATAATAATAATAATTTTTTTATTTTACCTATTATTTATAAAATTTTTTATAACAGATATAAAAACTATACATTTTAATAAATTTGAAGGTTACATCTTCTTTCCCAGTATCAATTGAAGTAGTTCTACAAGTTACAATCTAAAGTAGCTTACCCATATTGCAAAAACATACCCCAAACTATGTAAGAGTTTGTGATAATCCAAAGCTGTAGGGATATAAAGAAAAAAAAGTCGAATCCCTTAGGTATAAAACTAAAAATGCTGTGATAGTAGAAGAAAGTAAAAACGAACGTATATGCGACATTACAAAATATTTACATAGACTGTGTCCGTACATCAACATTGACATCTAAATTCGTCGATGAGCAAATCGTCCAGCTTGAGATCTCGTTACGCTGAAAAAGGGGAAGGCAAAGTGCTCTGCCCTACCACCAAAAATTCTTACAATCTATTAATAATTCTAATAAACATCACGACAATTCTAAATAACCAAAGATCATTACGCATTACCCTCCCTGAATAATCTATATACTCATTACATTTATGATATATTATTTAATGTTCTGGTTTGACGCATAAATGCGTGTTGTGTGTGAAAAACACGAGGACGTGATACGATGTATTAGTAACAAAAAATTAAAAAAAAAGATGTGCCCAAGCAAAGCGTATCAAATCTATATATAAAATTTCTTGATTAAGCAATAAAAATTCATTTTTTCTTTATAAACTTTACAACAATGCGTGGGCGCGCCCTTTCTGAACTTGCGGCCGGCATTCCTTTCAATTTGACCGACTCACTTCCTTTTATTGTTTTTTATTGTTGGTTTTAGAAAAAATGATTGATACCTAGGATTTCTTTATACTGCAGCAATATAAAAGAAGTTAACTGCAATACTAGGAACGCTCGCTTTAGAATTGATGGGAACGGATTACAAATTTTCGGGACCTCGCGCATCCGCCATTTTGTCATCGCGACAATCGTATCGCACAAAGCAACTCTCGTTTGGAAGCTTTATATTCCCGCGCGTTCTAAGTACCAAGTGAATCGAAATCGATAATTTTGTAAAACGACGTTTTATTTAATCACAAGATCGTTATTAAAGATGAAAAGGGTTACCTTTCCTCTTGCGATTCTTGGCCATTTTCTGCGGCGTCCCCGCCGCCGTTCTCTGCTTCGCCGTTCTGCTCGAAGTTTTGATCGGCAATATCTTCGCTGAAGTCCTTATTCTCCTGATCGGCCATAGTTTATTATATTTTATTTTTATTATTTTTATGAAACACTTAAAACACAATTATAAATCGCGTTTTAACGAGTAATTAAATACACTACACGAGCTAACAACACTCTCACGTCCGTACTGATCGGCCGCCGAATGGAGAAGGGAGAGGTACGACTTGCGCTCAGTTTGACTCAGGAGATTCCGCGCAAAGCATCATGGAATCTCTTTTACTTCCCCCATAATAGGTATCTGAGCCAATCAGATTTCACCATGCAGTGCCGTACCTTTAGTACTTAATACCAGGTTAGTTTATAATTTTCAAATATGTTATATTATTTATAATAAATTTTATACAATGATAAGAAAAAAAATTAATATTTTTTTCACAGAACATTATTTATTATAATTACTCTCTAATTTTTGATTTCTTAAACTTAAATATAATAAAATAAAATTAAATAAAATTTTGAAAATTAAAAATAATAGTTATTATTATTAAAAATAATGATTAATATCTTAATAATCTTTTTTAATGAACTGATTCCTTATTTTATTTATATGTATAATTAAATATTTTAATAATTATTAGATAAGAAAATGGTTTTACTTACCATACAAATTATTATAAAAAATTTAATTTCAAGAAAACAATGAATTACCAATAATTCAAAACATTGTTACGCTCCTATTATACCAATCGATGTTGTCGAGTATTTTAGTGATGTTAAGGGGCAATAGTGAATATAATGGCATGTATACGAAAATTTTAGCCTTGTGTGGAGAATGGAGCGAAAATGTAGAGCCAATAAGATTCGTGGTAAATGCTAAGTAATATATGCCAGCCAATAAGAATTCAGAGAAGATCCAGCTCCATTCAATATCATTTCCCAGAATTCTATGCGCATAATTTCTAAGAAATCAATAAAATATTGCTTCTAAATTAATTTTGATATAACTATTTTAATAATTTTGTATTATTATATTTTTATTTTTACTATTTGAGTATCAACGTTTATTAAAATGATTAAGTAAAAATGAGATTTCATTTTCATGTTGATGTCTAATAAAAGCGGGAAATATTTACCGTTGATTCAGCGTTCTCATTGTAGACGCTAATAGTTGGCGCTAGTATCAACCTAGATGTCGTTGTATGTACTTCAGTCATTCAATGATATAAAAATATACTGTGTAAATTTATATATCATAAAATAAAATTTTTAAACAATATTAAAATAAAATATTTATTACTAATTAAGAAATTTTTTCTTAATTAGTTAATTAAGAGTAGTATTTTAAATTCTTTATATATTATTATTATTTACTCGTTGTTGTAATAATAATTACAATTGAACATCCTTATTATTTAATGTTTATTTATACTTTCGTCAAATTTAATTATTATTTTATTTATTTATTTAAAATATTTTTCTTTAATATTTATAGTCATATAACTAACAAATAATCAAACGATTGAATTTATTTTTTGAATGGATATTTTATATTTTTATCAATTGACGTTTGTTTTTTGTTTATAAATGGAAGTTTAGTTCGCGAATTGTAAAATTTTTAGATAGATTAAAATTTTTGTAATGATATAATTTTTGAATATTTTCTCTTTCAATTATCGAAATGCCTGAACAAAAGGTAAAGTCAGATTTTTATTATTTTTTATAAAATAAGAAAAAATATAAGGAAAAATACTTTTATTTTAAATAATTTTCCATATCTAATAAATAATCCATAGATTTTGAGGCTACAAGATGTTTGGCGTACTTGTAATAAAATACGAGCTGCAATATTTCGCGTGGGTTTTAATTTATGGGACTTTTACAAACCGTTAGATCCTAATAATAATTCTTTGATCTCAGGTATATAATATGATATAATCTAGTATAATATAAATAATAGTATAATATAGTATAATAATTTTCATTTTTTCATTTTAATTTTAATAGTTCAATTTTTTCCATATAATATTTTTAATTTTTCAATTGCATCATATTTTTAAAATTATCATATTAAAATTTTATATTATTCAATATTATATTTGTATTTTATTATTGATTTTTAACAGATATATACTTAGCATTTACAGATATTATATCTAATGAAGATTGTATTTGAATATGAACTATATAATGTTATTAATACATAGAGTCAAAATTTATTTCGGTATTGGCTGGCCCACTGAAGGATCAAATTGGTTTATCTGACAAAGAAATTTGTGACTTGGCCGATTATTTTCGTGTTCAAGATGGTCGAATATTTTACACACAGTTTTGTGACATAATTCACACTAGTGGTATGATTAATTTAAATTTAATAGAATGTTAAATAGTTAAATATCAAATTTAAAATTTTTTTAATTATGTATCATTTACGAATATTTAAAAAGATTTTATATATATGTAATATAATATTATATTACGAATTTATTATAAACTATTATATATTATGTATTACATGATACATAAATAATTATATTATTTTATATATTTTATTATTCATTTAAATAAATAACTAAAAATAAAATAAATAATAAAATAATGAGAAAATAAATTTCAAAAATTTGAATATGAAAAGAATTTGTATTTATTCAGCATACCTGACTCGGTACCGTTAAGTGAACTCATCGTTGGAACAAAATTTATTTTCTCTCATAAATATTCGTATTTGACTATCTACTATTTTTTCAATGAGTTATTAACCTGACAAATTAAATAAAAGAATTAAATAAAAAGCATAGTTGTTTTTCCTATAGTTCCTGAATTTGATAAAAACAAACCACTTGTAACTGGTTTGGAATGGGAAGATCCAGAACATGTAAATCGATTAAGTGCAACGGAATTCCGAAAATTATGTCTTATACTTACTCAAATTGCCGTTCTTGTAAACAAAAGAAAACTCATATTAAGACCTTATTTCCAAGATTACGAATTGGTATGTAAAAGATAATTTTTTTATTATTAATAAAAAAAAATTAAAGATATTTTATGCCTCTTATATTTTTATCTTTGAATGATAAATATCTTTATTACTTTCCTTTTTATCTAGATTTCAAAAAATGCTGGAACTGTAACTTTTACGCATTTCGGACGAATCTTAAAATTTTTAGGTATTCTTCTTGCTTCCGAGGAATTTTGTTTGCTTGTAAAAAGATTCGCGAAAGATGCTTATACGATCAATTATGTGGCTTTCTTAAAGGCGATCGACGAAGTTCAATCGTATTTTGATAAACATCAAATGCTGGCTCTTGGCGGAGTAATATTTTATCTTATGAATTTATTATTTATTAATTTATAGATTAATTTATTTTATTGACAAATGAATTGCAAAATGAAATTATGATAATATCTTACTTATTTAAAAGGAGTTACTTGATCAATTTCCTGGTCGAATTATCACGGCTGAATTACCGAAACTTCCAAGGCCGGAAATTGGTAGAGAAATACCAAGCAAAGTATTTGGAAAGCAAACCGTATTTCATCCGGTGATGGAAGAACAAAAAACTGTAATGCCTTTGATGGAAATAATTCAACGTATTCAAAGACATATACTAGAACATCGAATACGTATTTCGGAATTTTTTAAGGTGATAATTTTTAAACAATAATAATTTGTAAATAAAATTTTCATTCGTTTTTAATATTATATAGGATAATATAATTTTAATACAATAAAAATTTAATTTTCATACTTTTAAGATATTCTTTTTATAGTTTATATGTGTACAATTTATATTAATATATTAGAATACACATTTGAAATTTGTTTATCTCATAGATGTGTCAAATAGTAAATAAATAATTAACGGTTATTGATAATAGGACTTTGATCCTCTGAATGCGGGTAAAACGACCATTTCTAACTTCAGGAGAGGATTGGATGGGCTTCAGGTTTCAAGTTTGGGGCGTCTTTATCTCGCGGAAACGGAAATTGACGCGCTTATTGCGCTTTATAAAGATCCAAATGATCCAGATCGTGTATGTTGGCGTACATTTGAAGATGACATTGACAAAGGTATTTTTTTTTATACACTGTGTGATCGATTTATTTTTTTATTTTTCGTCCCTGTTCATTTGCAGTGTTTACCGTGAAGGAACTTGAAAAATTGCCGAATTTGAAGGTTGAATCACCGCCAAAAGAAATAGAGGAACTAAGTAGGAAAGGAACTTTAGATTGGCAATGCCAAGAAAAAAGCAAAAGAGATCTTTGCGAGGAAACATTGTTGAAAATTCGGTATCGTGTCAATGAAAGACGAATTTTGATAAAACAATTTTTCAAAGATTACGATCGGTACGCTTCAATTTTCATTCAACAACATATACATGCACGTTATTAAAAAAGTAGATATTATATTTTTACGTTTTTTAATTAATTTTTAGGCATAATAAAGGTCACGTGTCGCGTTCACAATTACGCCAAGTTTTAACGACTGCTGCTATATTACTTTCTGAAGAAGAACAGTTTGCATTAGAACAGAGATATAATAATGATTTAGGCTTCAATTATAATTGGTTTTTGAGAGAATTAGAAGCTTTGCCAATTGAGGAACCTTTATATCACTCTATGTTAAAAGAAAAAAAACTGATAAATGCTGAAAAACCGCCATTGGTACTCACAGATGATGAAACAAATATACTTTTAATTTTAGCCAAAATTAAAGCAAAAGTTGTACGCGAAAGGATAAAGGTAAAGCATAAAATGTGAATATATTTATATTCTTCCTTTATATTCAATATTTTTACTTTCATGGGAAGGTTATCGAATTTATGCGTCAATATGACGTACATAACGAACATGTTATAAAAAGAACAGAGTTTCTGCGAGGGCTGGATCAACTACGTTGTAATTTGTCTTGCACAGAAATGGGAACTATTATGGACATTTTTCAATCGCCTTTAAGGTATACAATATATGTTACATATATATATTTAATACATATGCATATGTATATATATTTTGTATAATTAGCGATTTTTATAATTAATGTAATTATAAATATTTTAACCTCTATGTTTTCAAAATTTCAATTATAGTTTCTAATAAAATCGATCTAATTTTTTAGGTATACAATATTTAATCAAACGAGATTAAAATATAATTTAACAATTTTCAATATATTATTTTTTTTTACAGACCAGATTATGTGGATTATGTCAGATTTGGGGAAACGGTTGAAGAAGCTGTTGCTACGGGAAGTTTAGA